TGATAGACAGACAGATTGACAACTGAGTGAGTGAGTGAGTGAGTGAGTGAGTGAGTGAGTGAGTGAGTGAGTGGCTAATTTATACTAGACATTCTTAAACAGTTAATAAAACTAAATAAAACTGAATTTAAAGTTTGTGAGTCTAGCAAAATTAAAGATCAAAAATCTTTTTGTAAGCTACATCAGTGTTTTATACTGTGAAAAAAATAAGCATACCACCAATCTGAGGTAAACAAAACTTTGCTGTGTTGAAGAAGAAAAAACTTAAGAGATTTCTCCTTATTTCTACTGCTATCTTAAGAATGGCGCCCTGCCTTCCTGCTATGTCCCAGGAATAAAAACAACTCTTTCTTTTCAAGAAAGAAAGAGAAGAACTTTTTATCCTTTGACTCTCCACGTGGTTCCTGATTAGTTAGTTCTCCAGGTGACCTGAGGTGACTGACAAATGTATTTTGCATTTATAAACAAGTTTGTAGAGACCTTCATATTAACAAGTGTAAGAATTTGTTACAGAAAACAGACTTAAGCTTCATATTCACTCACTTTCCAGGTACTACTCTTTCCAGTTTCCACATCACATCACTCCTGAGCTTACCATTGATGTGACTGATCGTGCATCTTCTTCATAATTCACTACAGGAGGAGGCTCTTTCCCATCATTTTCTTGCACTTTTTGCTCTAGCAATTCTTTCTGTGCTGTAAACTTTGCCTCACTGCATTTCAGCTGCTGGACTGATTGTTTCAGCTCTTCAAGTGTCTGTCTTTGGCTCAGAAGAAGCACAATGCTACAAGAGAATAAATTAAGTATACATTATTTCATATTTGCAAAAAGTATTAATTGACACTACACACATGAAATTATGCTTCTGTAAGCTTTCATTTTCATATGTAAATAGCATTCCTTCAGAATCATGAGATTTAGATGGACCTTTAGCCCAGTTAACCAAAAGCAAATCCAAATCAACAAAATCAGAAAGAGGAAACATCACAAGACACACTAAAAAGATCTAGGACATTATAAGGGAATACATTAAAAATATACAGTCTAGGGCTGGAGAGATAGCTCAGCGGTTAAGAGCACTGACTGTTCTTGCAGAGGACCTGGGTTCGATTCCCAGCACCCACATGGCAACTAAGAACTTAAACTCAGTTCCAAGAGATCCAACACCCTCTTCTGATCTCTGTGGCATGGCACAACACAGGTGCACTCACTTATATATTTATACACATGAAATAAAAATAATAAACATTTTTTTCTGCTTTTTAAAAAATTATGTAATAAATGCACAATCAAAAAAAGCATTGGAATACAACAGCACTGACATATTCAATAACAATTTCCAGAGCTAAGATGCATATCCTTCAAAATTGGATGTAAATTTATCGGTTTACACTTGAATTAATACAGTTATACAATATTGTACTCAATATGAAACCTATAAGACATAAAATTACATGAGGTTTAAAGCTTTAAAAAAGAACTCCATTTTACTATTAAAATACACAGTTTCATACAGAAAAATTCATTTTCAATACAACTGACAATTAGATGAACATGCATTTCTAATCTCTACATATCTGATGATTACTAGTCACCGTCGGTTACTCTCTGAGCTCCTTGGCATCTGAGCATGGATATAAAGTCATGAGGTAGATTTCAATGGTAATGTTTTTCACATCCACCAATTATTAAGGAACAAATTTTTATGCTTAAAAGAATTATTATTTTAATTTTTTAATTAATTTATTTTTACACCCACTTCCCACATAGCACCCTCCCATAGCCTGCCTCCCCCCACTAGAGCTCTTATACTCTGATATCCCTGCTGTCTGCTGTGTTGTCTTCACCATCAGCCATTCCACACTACTTGACCTTCTGGTGAATGTAGTCAGTCTATCTGGAGGTCTTTGTTTTAAGAGGGTCAGCTGTTCCTCATCTGGCAGTTATCGGTTGTCAATATTCCTTTGGAAAAGATTGGGGTCTGCTGCTCTTTTTCCCAGTTCTATGCTGGGTTAATCTCAGGGAATCTCTTTGGCAACCCGGGCCAGCAACTCAAAAGAAGGTATTGCCTGTCTGGCATTGTTGCTTACTATGCAGCCTTTAGCTATACATATGGACTCTTATGAAATTACATTGGACCCTTTAATCTTTGGTTATACTTTCATTTTGAGTGTTTAAGGCCATAGAGTTGGACCAGATAAAATGATTTATTTTTACACTTAAGGTCATTTGAGGATCTGTTCCTCAGGGGGTCACATGGGCTAGGGAGGAGACCCTGACTCCTTTCTTTAACCAGTTCTGCCTATATGAATAAGTCAAAGGTCCTGCTCGACCATCGTTGGCTTCACATGGAAGCATGGAGGAAATGATTCCCCTGTATTGACCCTCCTCTTTATAGATGGGACACTGACTCAAGTCCATCTGGTGGGGTCTCCTCGGCCTCCTTGGCCAAGAGGACAGGTGACACCCACCATTGTAGGACATTTTAGGAGATGCTCATAGTCCCCTGGAACTACTCAACCTAGGAGGGCTAGGAGTAAAAGTGTCCTTTATGTCCCTCTGACCAAATTCTTATAGGCCTCAAAGTATATGAAATACCCAAGAAGGTTAGTTCCACCCGTCTGGTATTTTTGATTACTGTGTGTCATGTAGATAAAACTTAGGCAAAGACTAGTTGTTCACAGATAAACCTTACCTAGACATATATTTCTTGACTGGCTATGTTTAATTTGTCAGTAGGTTAGAGGAGTAATATGGTTCGCTCTGGTTTTCAAAACTAACTACGCACTGCTTATCTCTCGCATTGCCTCACCCCTCCATCATGGTTTTCCCAATTAAGGTACCCACATTTCCCCCCTTTCTCCCTTACTAATACCCTTCTCCTAGTGTCCAACCTCTCTTGAGCTCCTTCTTTGCCTTTGTTCCCTAGGTTCCTTGTATACCCTTCCCTGCCTCCTCCTTTATACTAACCCAATTTTTATCCATATCTCCCTTATTAAGGCCTGTTTCCTACTGTTCTTCTCTTTCAGGTTATTTTTTTTTTCCTTTACCAACCTATTTCCTTTCCATTATCCTGGTTCTTGTAGTTATGTCTCATTGCATACTTATTTATCAGAGTCTGATTCTAGGATCCACATATGAGGGAGAACATATGTCAATTTTTTTTCTGAGTCTGTGTTACTTCACTTAGTATAACAGTTTCTAGTTCCAT